CTGGTGGAGACCGTAGACTGGATGCTGGAGACTCCACTGGGTACCAGGAGGGAAAGACCCAGTGAAGCCAGGTGGGCGGCGCAGCCAGATCTCCTCGTGCAGGCTGCCCTGCAAGAAAGCAGTGCTGAAGTCGAGAGAGTGCAGCTCGTAGTCACGGTGAGCAGCAACGTGCAGCAGTACCCGAAGAGTGGTCATCTTCGGGGTGGGGGAGAAGGTCAGAAAGTAGTCAACTCCCTGCCGCTGACTGAAGCCACGAGCCACGTAACGCGCCTTGAAGACAGGCGGAGAACCCGGCGGCCGCTTCACCCTGAAGATCCACATGCCACTGACAATGTTCGCCCCAGGAGGGGGGACAGCGTCAACGTAGGTGCCTGTGGACTTCCAGGAAGCCATCTCTGCATCCATAGCTGCCTGCCACTGAGAGGAGTAGGGACCCTCTATCGCCTCCGCGTAAGAGCGCGGAGTCGGGATGCCAAGTGCATCCGGGTCTCCCTCAGGGGTAAGCAGTACGGACACGAGATGAGGTGAAGCAGCGGCCAGACACTGAAACTCCTCCTGCCTGTCCTCAAGGACGTCCGTGCCAAGGGCACACTCACCCTCGACGGACGGAGGACAGACAGACTCAGACTCAGCGACAAGACTAGCAGCGTAGTCTAGACGGCAGCGAGCAGCAAAGTCGACGAGCTCAGTAACAAGGGCAGACGCAGCAGTAGACTCGAAAGAAGGGTCACTGACGGCAGTAGCAAGGAGACGCGTGACAGTAGGACTGGCAGCACGAAGAGAGTCCGACTCCGGGTCGGCAAGAGCAGGAAGAGAGGACGCAGGAGGAGAAGGCAAAGGGGCAAGCAGAGGAGAAGTAGACGGACGCAGAGACATCCGGTGCGTGCCAGGGACAGGAGGAGGACGCTGACGCGAACCGCGACCACTAGCGCGCGCAGCACGAACAGGCGACGCAGGACGAGACGCAGGCTCACGACGCTCAGTAAGACCTCCAGTAGGACCAGCGTAGGGAGAAGGAGCAGGCAAAGGGGAGGCAGGTTGTAGCTGTGACTGTGAGTGGACAGGCTGTGGACGCTCTAAGGGAGGAGGAGGAGGACCAGTAGAAGGTGGAAGACCAAGAACCTGCTGCAGGAGTGGAACGAAGTACGGTCGAGGCCTCGTGGCGACGCCAGAAACAGCAGGGACAGCACCAGGACCCCCAACAGGAGTACCCGCTCCAGCAGCACCTCCAGCAGTACCTCCAGCCGCTCCATAACCCCCAGCAGCACCAGAACCTCCAGCAGCACCAGGAGCACCGCCAGCAGGACCGCCGGTGGTAGTCTCAGCCCCAACACCCTCAGCAGCACCAGCTCCAGTCGAACCTGCAGGCCCAGCAGCTCCAGTACTCCCAGGACGAGCACCTCCGGGACCCGCGACAGCAGTACCCTCAGTAGCCGACGAACCTCCAGCACCAGCAGCACGGCTCCAGCGCCGGGCAAACCACTCGCGCAGCTCCTGTGGAGAGAGTGGCTCCCGGCGAGACGAAGCACCCGGAGAACCTCCAGGCGGAGCACCTCCAGGCCCAGCACCCCAAGACCCAGCACCCCCAGGCAAGGCACCTCAAGGCTCAGCACCCCTATGCTCAGTTCCCCCAGGCTCAGCACCCCCAGGCGTAGCACCCCCAGGCTCAGCACCCCCAGGCTCAGCACCCCTAGGCTCCGCACCCCCAGGCCCAGCACCCCCAGGCCCAGCACCCCCAGGCTCAGCACCCATAGTCTCAGCACCCCTAGGCTCAGCACCCTCAGCAGCACCAGAGTCACCCGTGAACTCGACAGGCTCGACTGCGTCTACCTGGGACACACCTGAAGGGGCAGGACCCTGAGGGGGGAGGGGGTCTACCGGGGGGGGACCTGGTACAAGGAAGAGCGGGGGAGGGGGGAGGGACGGAGTGCGGTAGGGGAAGAGGCTGTAGTAGGGTACCGACTCGTCGAACGTGACGTCCTGGGAGGACAGAACACGGCGAGAGGTGGGGTGGTAGAACTGCCACCCTGGGGCGTCGGGGGGGAACCCCAGGAAGACGCAAGGAGCAGCGCGAGGGGACAGCTTGTCCGCAGACAAGTCGCGGACAAACGCCCGAGATACCCAAACCCGGAACGCCGACGCATCGCCAACCTTCCCCGTCCACAGCAGGGCTGGGGAGGTCTCCGGCCTGGAGACCCTGGGGTGAAGGTTGATCTGATGCGCCGCGTACCTGACCGCAAACGGCCACAGAAAATGGGGGGCAGCCGCATGCATAATAGACGTACGAGCGACGTCCATGACCATGCCAATGCGGGGCTCTGCAATCCCATTTTGCTGCGGTGAGTCCGGAAGCGTGAAGGTCTGACGGATGCCTCGCGCACGACAGTAGGCACGCAGAAGGAAAAGTTTAGAACAATGATGATGATACAATGAATTTGGCATAGCAAGACTACATCAGAGCAAGCATTCAGGTCGGCCAACTGCCAGCGCAGCTTGGTCGACCGCGTTCCAGCACGACTTGGTCGACCGCGCTCCAGCAAGGCTAGGTCGACGGCGTGCCAACGTCGCAGGTTGACGGCGTGACAGCGTTGCTTACGCAGGACAGCAGTGCACCCTGCTTCGCAGTTGCGCGCAGATGATTGGCGTGCAGAGTCTCATCACCTGCACAGCGCACACACCACGTCAACCTCGAGCTGAGGACTGCCTCTGATCCGCCACGACGACCTCGGGATACCACCAGCGAGGTCGGGCTCGCCAACTTCGCCTGGGCGACCGTCGCACTACTCCGCAGCACTTCGTCACCCAGGTAACCTGGTCGAACAGGCAACCACATCGACGAGCAGCTCCCGGTCATGCCCGTCGACCTCCCAAGTCGACGACCACCTCCACGTCAACCTCACCAGGTTTACGTCCCCTCTAGTCGACCGGCTCCTCGTCGACCTGCTCCTCGTCGACCAGCACAGTCGTCAACCGACCACCCACGTCGGCCACACGAAGCTGGCGTCACAAAGTTGACGCCCCGCTACTCGACGCCCAACTGCTCGGCGTCCTGAGTCAAGGTCAACGTCGGCCCCTCTTTCGTCGACCACCAGGTCCAGTCGACCACTAACAGGTCGACCTGCCGTCCGTTAGCCGACCGCCGAAGTCGGCTACGCCAAGTTGACGTCCTCCGGAGGTCAACTCCCAAGTCGACCTCCCTGAAGTCGGCGCCCGTGCAGTGGTCCCCCGTGCTGGTCGACCCCCTCGTCGACCAGCTCACCCACTGCTGCAGGTCGGCTGCTCCCCTCACACCCGACCACGAAGTCGGCTCCGCCCAAGCGAGGACGGGGCCAATACCCAACTCCCGTTGACATCTCCCCAGCGGGGGATCTCTGCGGCCTCCGGGAACTGCTGGCGCCAAGCGTCCGTCAGGCGGCCAAAGCAGCGCTGGGCGGGGTGGGCACCCCCACGCTGCACACCCGCGCGGTCGCCGGTGCGAAGAACGTAGGTGCAGGGACCAAAACCCCCACCACGCTGACGCTGCGTGTACCACTCACGGAGCTGCTGAGGGGTGGGGACGTCGCGAGAACGCTGCTGCTGCTGCTGCTGCTGCTGACGCTGACCACCCCCAGTGCTGCTCCGCTCCGAAGCGCCACTCCGACCACCTCCACCACCTCCACCTCTGCCGCCTCCACCTCCACCACCACCACCGCCCCCGCCTGTAACGCCGCCGCCACCGCCGCCTCCGCCTCCACTGCCGCCACTAGCACCTCCACCCCCTCCACCACCTCCACCGCCACCCCCACTCCCTCCGCCACCGCCACCTCCACCTCCACCCACCCCGCTAGCTCCACCCGCGCCCTTGCCCCCCTTGCCCTTGCTAGGGCGGCGTCTCCCACTAGGGGCGGACGCCGCACCGACCGACTCAAGACCAACGAGGTCGGCCGCAGCGGCAGAGGCGACAGAGGGCAACAGGGGGGAAGGAGAACACCCCTCAAAGATGGGGGTGCGAGGGTCACCACGAGAGGCCCCTACAACGACTATGCTCTTCTCTGCCGCTAGGAGGGACTTCTCGAGGAGGTCTACAGTGAGAGTGGTGGGACACACTGAGAGGAAGTGGTCCCTGACTACACGAAGGGAGTCAGGGAGACGAGTGACTATGAAATAGAGAGTGATGTACATGGGGGGGGGGTTCTTGGCGCAGAAGTCAGTAGGAAGCGCAGCGCGGTAGCGAGTGTCACTAGTGCGGAGGTGCGTAATGAGGTCAGCGACTGTGGGAAAGGCAGCAAGGTCAGGGAAGAGGAAGGGTAGCATGAGGCGGCTCAGTACAGCAGTGGCAGGGGAGGAGTAGCGCGTAACTACAGCGTCGCACAAGGTCTGAGCACTCTTGTACTGACTAAAGTGCGCGCGCTCAGCGGTAGGCAGGTGGCGACGCACAGCAAGACGTGCAGCAGCATCGCGTGTGGCCCACTAGGAGCGAACAGTGGGGTCAGCCTCAGCAGCAGGGCCAGGGACGGCGCCAGAGGTGAGGTCAAAGAGAGAAAGACCGTCTGCCCTATCGCACTGTAAGAACAGCTGCAGGTCGTCGACCCAGACCTCCAAGTCAATGGCACGACCCTCAGCGTCAAAAGCTAGGACACTAGGGGTAGCCATGACAGCAGTCGACGATCTCACCAGACAGGACGGGTCGGGCAGCTCAGCAGCACAGCAACACGGCAACACTGCTGCTCGGCCGGCCCAGCAGCAACAGCAGCTCCGCGGGACCAGCGGCTCGGCTCCTCAGGTGACTCGGGCGGCTCGGGCGGCGCAAGCGGCTCGGGCGGCTCGAGCGGCTCGGCTCCTCAGCGGCACAGGCGGCTCGGGCGGCTCGGGTGGCGCAGGTGGCACGGGCGGCTCGGGCGGCTGGGTGTCACAGCGGCGTACGGGCGGCGTGGGGCCGGGACGGCGGCGTGCGGCCGGGACGGGTGGCGCACGGGCGGTGTGGGGCCGGGACGGCGGCGCACGGCTGGGACGGGTGGCGCATGGGCGGCGTGGGGCCGGGACAGTGGCGCGCGGCCGGGACGGGTGGCGCACGGGCGGCTGGGAGCGGGGCCGGGACAGGCGACGCACGGGCGGCTTGGGGCCGGGACGGCGGCGAGGGGCCAGGACGGGCAGCGCACGGGCGACGAGGGGCCAGGACGGCTGTGCGCGGTCGGGACGGGCGGCGCACGGGCGGCGTGGGGCCGGGACGGGCGGCGCACTGGCGTCGACGGGCCGGGGCAGCGGCGCGCGGCCGAGATGGGCGGCGCACAGGCGGCGTGGGGCCGGGACGGGCGGCGCACAGGCGTCTGGGGGCCGGGACGGGCGGCGCGCAGGCGTCTAAGGGCGGCGCGACGGCGGCGTGGGGCCTGGACGGGAGGCGCGCGGGCGTCTAGGGGCCGGGACGGGCGGCGCGCGGGCGTCTAAGGGCGGCGCGCGGGCGTCTAGGGGCCGGGACGGGCGGCGCGCGAGCGTCTAGGGGCCGGGACGGCAGCGCGCGGGCGACTAGGGGCCGGGACGGGCGGTGTGCGAGCGTCTAGGGGCCGGAACGGGCGGCGCGCGGGCGTCTAAGGGCGGCGCGCGGGCGTCTAGGGGCCGATAGGGCAGGTCGACAAAGTGAGAGAGAGGGCCCGGAGCGCGACTCAGGGCGAGCGCACTTCGGGCAGGAAAAAAAAAGAATATCGATGTGGTGGGCCCTAAGCACAGTTCCCACGGGGGAACCTACTCGATACCATGAGAAAACTAGAACGAGAATGAATGAACTATGAATGAAGTGAGTACAAATAGGAAACCCTGATTGGGTTATACCCCCTATGGGATACCCCACTATAGCCTACACAACAGCATAAGCTATAATGTTCTGACAGCCACCACCACCTGTTCTCGTACAGGATGAACCTGAGTATGAAGTGGAGCGCGTTCTTACTCATCGGTACCGCGGCGACAAGTCCCTCGAGTTCTTGATACTCTTGAAGGGATATGACCCCACTGAGGACAGTTGGGTCGCGGAAGCTGTTATGGGCAATGCACGCCGTGCTCTCAAGGACTATCTTGTCAAGCAGGGTGTATCTCACGCCACCCAGCTTTGAGGGGGGGACGTGTGAGAGTACGATGGCTTAGGCTGGCTTTGCTAGCTTGCTTGGACTTTATTATGCTATATCTAGCTTGGGTTTATTTTATCATGCATAGATATGCTTGATTTCCTAGGTTAGGTGCACTCCTATATTTTATTTTAGTTACAGCACCGAACCAGGTTACGTGTACCGAACTCAAGCCTATTCGGTTCCCACCGAATTGCTTTCTACTGAGTTCGGGAAGGTTCTGTTCGGGATGCTTCGCGACCCTCAGAACATTCGCGTAACACCTGGGTAACTGGCCTTGTGTCGAGACTATATATAGCCTTGTGTTGTACCCAGGAGAATCATTCAATTCAAACCCACTTTTCTGAGCTCGATCCTAGATCCTCACAAGGGCAGGCGCGGCGACGTGACGCGCGGGCAGGGCAGGGCGCGCGACGGCGGGCGACGCGCAGGCAGAGCGCATGGCAGCGCGACGCGCGGGCAGAGCAGGGCACGCGACGGCACTCGACGCGCAGGGAGGGCGCGCGGCAGCACGACGCGCGAGCAGGGCAGGGCGCGCTGTCAGAACATTATAGCTTCTGCTTTTGTGTAGGCTATAGTGGGGTATCCCATAGGGGGTACAACCCAATTAGGGTTAGTACTTTTACCCAGTTCATTTATAGTTCATTCATTCTCGTTTCTTCACATGGTATCGAGCAGGTTCCCTCATGGGAACTATTCCTAGGGCCCACCAAGTCGATATATTTTTTTTCCTGCCCGTAGCGCGCTCCGCTTAGGCCCGAGTCGCGCCTCGTGTGCCCCTCTACCGTCGCGTTCGTCCTAGGCCCTCCTCGGCCCCGTCGCGTCACCCCTAGCTGCCTCCCTCGAGCCGCCCTTACTCGGCCAGTCGCCGCCCTACGCGGCCCGTCGCCGCCCTTTACTCGGCCCGTAGCCGCCCTTACGCGGCCCGTCGCCGCCCTAAGCAGCCAGTCGCCGCCCTTCTTCGGCCCGTAGCCGCCCTTACCCGGCCCGTCACCGCCCTAAGCGGCGCGTCGCCACCCTAAGCGGCCCGTCACCGCCCCCTCTTCGGCCCGTGGTCGCCCTAAGCGGCCCGTCGCCACCCTCCTTTGGCCCGTCGCCGCCCTTACGCGGCCCGTCGTCGCCCTGAGCGGCCCGTCGCCGCCCTACTCGGCCCGTCGCCGCCCTACGCGGCCCGTCGCCACCCTACGCGGCCCGTCGCCGCCCTCACTCGGCTTGCCGCCGCCCTTTCCGGCTCGTCGCCACCCTTCCGCGGCCAGTCGCCGCCCTTACGCGGCCCGTCGCCGCCATTACGCTGCCCGTAGCCGCCCTTTCCGGCTCGTCGCCGCCCTTTCCGGCCCGTCGCCGCCCTCAGCAGCTCGGCGCCGCCCTTCCCGGCCCTGTGCGCCACCCTACACGGCCCCCACGCCTCCTCCTCCTCCTATCCTACGGCCGCCCCACCTCCACTCGGGCCGTCCTCACAAAGGCAGGAGCCGCCGCAGTCGGGCCGCCGGGCCGCCGAGCCACCCAGCAGCAGAGCCGCCCAGCAGCGGAGCCGCCGAGCCGCCGACCAGCCGAGCCGCCGAGCCGCCCTACTTCCGAGCCGCCCGAGCTGCCCCGTCCGGTGAGCACAGCGCCTCTTTCACTACACTGCCCTCACCCTACTGTTTGCACTGCTAGTCTACTGTGGTCATGGCTACCCCTAGTGTTCTCGCTTTTGACGCTGAGGGTCTGGCCATTGACTTTGAGGTCTGGGTAGATGACCTGCAGCTGTTCTTACAGTGCGATAGGGGAGACGGCCTCTCTCTCTTTGACCTCACCTCTGGCGCCTCCCCTGCCCCTGCTGCAGATGCTGACGTCACTATACGCTCCCAGTGGGCCACGCGCGACGCTGCTGCACGACTTGCTGTGCGTCGCCACCTCCCTACCTCCGAGCGTGCGCACTTTAGTCAGTACAAGAGTGCTCAGACCTTGTACGACGCTGTAGTTGCACGCTACTCCTCCCCTGCCACTGCTGCACTGAGCCGTCTCATGCTGCTGTACCTCTTTCCTGACCTTGCTGCCTTTCCCACAGTCGCTGACCTCATTACACACCTCCGCACTAGTGACACTCGCTACCGCGCTGCACTTCCTGCTGACTTCTCTGCCAAGAACCCCCCCCCCCCTATGTACATCACCCTCTACTTCATAGTCACTCGCCTCCCTGACTCCCTTAGAGTAGTCAGGGACCACTTCCTCGCAGTGTGCCCCACCACTCTCACCATTGACCTCCTCGAGAAGGCCCTCCTAGCGGCGGAGAAGAGCATAGTCGTTGTAGGCGCCTCTCGTGGTGACCCCCGCACCCCTGTCTTTGAGGGGTGTTCTCCCTCCCCCCTCTTGCCCTCTGTTACTTCTGCTGCTGCGGCCGACCTCGTTGGTTTTGAGTCGGTCGGTGCTGCGTCTGCCCCTTCGGGGAAGCGCCGCCTAGGCAAGGGCAAGGGGGGCAAGGGCGCTGGAGGAGCTGGCGGGGGCGGTGGAGGTGGTGGTGGAGGCGACAGAGGGAGTGGGAGTGGTGGTGGGAGTGGTGGAGGAGGTGGGGGTACCGTTGGCAGCAGTGGGGGCGGAGGCGGCGGCGGTGGCGGAGGGAGCGGAGGAGGCGGTGGTAGTGGAGGTGGCGGTGGTGGCGGAGGCGGCGGTGGTGGCGGATGTGGCGGAGGCGGCGGAGGCGGCGGAGGTGGCGGTGGAGCTGGTCGCGGGTCTATGCAGAGGAGTTGTCAACGGGAGTTGGATATTGGCCCCGTCCTCGCTTGGGCGGAGCCGACATCGTGGTCGGGTGTGAGGGGAGCAGCCGACCTGCAGCAGTGGGTGAGCTGGTCGACGAGGAGGACGACCTGCACGGGGGACCACTGCACGGGCGCCGCCTTTAGGGTGGCGCCGACTTCAGGGAGGTCGACTTGGGAGTCGACCTGCGGAGGACGTCAACTTGGTGACGTCAATTTGGGGAAGCCGACTTCGACGGTCGGCTAACGGACTGCTGGTCGACCTGTTAGTGGTCGACTGGACCTGTTGGTCGACGAAGGAAGGGCCGACGTCGACCTCGACTCAGGACGCCGAGCAGTTGGGCGTCGAGTAGCGGGGCGTCAACTTCGTGACGCCAGCTTTGGGTGGCCGACGTGGGTGGTCGGCGGACGACGTGGAGCTGGTCGACGTGGAGCTGGTCGACCAGAGGGGACGTCGACCTGGAGGAGGTCGACCGATGGTGTCATCGACCTGGTGAGGTCGACGTGGAGGTGGTCGTCGACTTGGGAGGTCGACGGGCACGTACGAGAGCTGCTGGTCGACGTGGTTGCCAGGTCGACCAGGCGAAGTTGGTATCCCGAGGTCGTCATGGCGGATCAGAGGCAGACGTCAGCTCGAGGATTGACGTGGTGTGTGCGCTGTGCAGGTGACGAGACTCTGGACGCCAATCATCTGCGCACAACTGCGAAGCAGGGTGCACTGCTGTCCTGTGAGAGCAACGCTGTCACGCCGTCAACCTGCGATGTTGGCACGCCGTCGACCTTGCCTTGCTGGAGCGCGGTCGACCAAGTCGTGCTGGAACGCGGTCGTCCAAGCTGCGCTGGCACTTGGCCAACCTGAATGCTTGCCCTGATGTAGTCTTGCTATGCCAACTTCATTGTACCAATTGTTCTGAACTTTTCCTAGTGGAACTCTTGCCAACTTTCCCCGTGAACTAGCAAGTAGTGTGCGCACAAGGAAAACGACTAAGGAACAGAGAACGCAGAGATCACACGTGCACACGTGCCTAGCCTGAGGTCTAGCTCCCGTTGTAGCAGTTATCTCCGCATGGTGCGGTGAGCGTGAACGACACCGCGACGTTGTTCAGTCTAGCCGACTTAGCACATACCGATCGTGTTCGTAGACCGGCAGCCGTGAAGTCACTAGCGTGCGCGTAGGCGACGCCGAGGTGATGGACACTCTGGAGGGACGGCTGGAGGATGCGAGGAGACGCCACGAGGCCCAGGAGTATGGGGCGATACCCTGGGCAGTCGTCGAGGCCGGACTTCGCTCCGTGTGGGCGGCGGAGCATCCCCCTTCTCGACCTGCCTCTCCTCGACCGGTGAACAACGACGGCGGCCTCGATGTGGGCGTCAACGCCGGTGGAGGTCAAGTCGGCAGCAGTGTGGGAGGCACGTCGAGGCAACGAGGTGTGATACACGCCAGTGAAGCCGGCGGCGTTCAGGCGCGAGGGGTGCACTCGTCGGCGGCTACAGGTTCCTCACATGGTGACGCCGGTGGGCGTCGAAGTGGGCTGTCGCCGATGTCGGCGTCCCAGGTGACGGCAGGTGGGATTGCACCGAGCTACGGCTACTTCAAGTTTACGCCGGACAGGATCTCGGTCACCCCTCCGCTGGTCGGTCGACCCGACATTCTCACCTGGAAGGAAGCCATCGAGCCCCAGTTGGAGATGGCCGGACTGATCGGCTTCGCCCGAGGGACCGTGGCGACGCCGGGGGAGCACCACCCCGACTTGTGGGCGGAGTTTCGCGCCGTGCAGCTGTTGAACTTCACGGTTATCTCGCGGTGTTGCTCGCCGGGCGTGCAGATCGCCTTGAAGTGGTGCCGAGAGTACCTCTACGCCGGCCACCGGGCGTGGCACTTCATTGAGTCGACGTACCAGGTCACCGACGACCTGTTCATCGCCCAGCTGGAGGGACAGCTGACACACCTGCGTATGGGCGACGAGGAGAGTGCGACCGACTACTGCAACCGAGCCACGCGAATTCTCGCCACCATCAGGATGGCCGGCGCGCAGTACTCCACGGCGTCGTACATCACCCATGTCATGCACGGACTGTCTAGCAGCTATAACCTCCTGAAGCGGCTGTCTATGGCGCCGAGCACGAGGGCGACGCTCAACGAGGACAACCTGACCTCGTACATCCTGCAGGACGAGGCGATGCAGGAGGCTGAGCGATCGCAGGAGCTCTTGGCGCAGGCCAACTTCGTCGCCCTGGCGAAGCAAGGAGGCCGACCAGGACAGCGCGGACAGTCTGGTGGCGGCGGGAGCGGTGGCTGGAAGTCGACCAAGGAGGTCGAGAAGAAGTCGACCAAGGACGGCGGTCGAGGAGGAGGAGGTCGTCGTCGGGAGTGCTGGATCTGCCACAGCCCCGATCACCTCTCCTTCGAGTGTCCCGACCGCAGTGACTCCGACGACGACGACAAAGGCGGCCGCGGGAGGTCTGGCAGCCGTCGCCCTCGTCGTGGAGGAAATGATCCGCGCAAAGAGAAACAGTCGACCAAGGCATCGACTTCGGCGAAGGACGCCGACTCCGTTGCAAGCGGCAAGGGGCGAGACGACAAGATGGCGTCGTGCTCGCTGGTCGGCGTCGTGGAGCCGACCATCTCTCTGGCACCGGAGGCCGGAGAGGACTTCCAAGCGGTGGCGGCAGCTGTGCAGGCGAACCCGGCGGTGGTCCTGCTCGACAGCGGGTGCTCCCACCACCTGATGGGGACGAAGGAAGCCTTCGTCGACTTGCAGCCGAGCGGCGCCATCAGGCATGTGCGCGGCTTCAATGGGGCGCTGCAGGACGTTCAGGGCCGCGGCACCGTCGCTCTGCAAGGAGAGGCCGGGAAGGAGGTGCTCATCCCCGACGTATTGTACGTCCCGGGCGTGCGAGCCAACCTGCTGTCGGCCGGCCAGCTGAAGGAGCATGGCGTGAAGCTGCAGGAGGACGGAGACGGCATGCTACTCATCTCGGCAGCAGGGGAGGTGCTCGGGCGGGCGACGTACTCTGGGCGAGTCCTCTGCACCGACCTGCGTCCCTGCGCGACGAGGTCGACGCCGCCCATGACGGAGGTCGTGGCTCTGCGCGCGATAGTCTCAAAGACGAAGTCGACGCCGGACCGGATGCATGCGAGGCTTGCGCATGTCGGCATGGACACCATACGGAGCTCGGCGAAGAACGAGGTCGCCATTGGGCTGGACCTCAAGTCGGCGACGGACGCCGACTCTCCGTGTGTCTCGTGCGTCGGTGGGAAACTGGCGCGGCACACCTTCCCCGACCACGGCTCCGACGCCGACGACGTGTTGGCTGTTGTGCACATCGACCTGTGCGGGCCGTTTCGCGTGGCTGCCAAGGATGGCAGCCTGTACTTCTTGCTGCTGAAGGACCGCAAGACCCGCTACGTGTGGGTGAAGCCGGTCGCCAAGAAGTCAGATGCGTTGCAAGCGTTCGTGCAGTGGCTGGCGGTGGCTGAACGGCAGACGAAGAAGTCGGTGTTGATGCTGCGCTCAGACCGGGGAGGGGAGTTCCTCGGGAAGCAGTTCACCGACTTCGTGAATGGCAAGGGGATCGTCCACGACCTGACCTGCCCATACACCCCGCAGCAGAACGGCATGGCAGAGCGGGAGATGAGGACGGTGGTGGAGTCGGTGCGGACAATGCTGCTGCACATGGGTGTGCAGCACCACTGGTGGCTCCTCGCTCTGCGGCAGGCCGTCTGGGTCCGCAACTGCCTTGAGAGGTCGACGCTGCCTCCGGGGACGACGCCGTACCAGCTGCTGACCGGGAAGAAGCCCGACTTGTCGCTGGCGCGGGTGTGGGGCTGCATGGCGCAGTTCCTTGTCCCTGAGCAGCAGCGTGGTGGGAAGCTGAAGCCGAAGGCCAGGTGGGGCCTGCACCTTGGCGTGTCGGCGGCGAGCAAGGGCTGGGAGCTCCTTGACGTCGCCACTGACCGAGTGGTCACCACGTCGGACGTGGTGTTCTATGAGGAAATGTCGCTGGCCGAGTGGAAGACGGAGCTTGGGCTGGTGTCCGGCCGCTTGTCGTCCACCCCGCCCTCTGACACCTCGTCGGCGACACTGCCGCTGCTTGCCGAGGCTGGCGAGCTTGCTACTGAGGACGTCGAGGACGTCCGCCCACATACCCCTCCCCTTGTGGCCGACCTGCGTGGGCTGACCTCGGTGTCAGCCTCCATGTTAGAGACTAAGGATCGAGTCTGTGAAGATTAGGAGCCTAAATTTCTCAAAATCGTTGGCTTGAAATTCTGGACAGAAACCGCGACTTCACAAGAAACGTTGTCGACGAAACGTGCACTGTTAGAATCGTCTCAAACCCGAGTATGTTGTAGCCCTTGGTTGTGGCTATCATTCCCAATTTGAATCGTATCGAAAGGTGGAGTAAATCTCGAGTTATGCTTTATGGCGCACCAGGGGGTATGCTGCCACATAGAAATTAAATTCACTCACAATAGTTTCACAAGTTCACAAGAGTTGCAGACAAGAGAGTTAGAGTAGCACTAAACCAGGTAGGAGGAAAGAGGAGGACGAGAGGGAAGGTCCCAAGGAGTCCCCAACCAAAGAAAACTCCATGCCACACAATTCCCTTCCCCATAGGCAACCCAACTTTGACCTTTGTCACTATCCCAACCTCCACAATCCACCTCAACCCAACTTGGCCACACTTGCCAACCTGGTTTGGTTTCTCCCAACCAATTGGCAGCAACTACAGTAGTAGTGACGAGTTTCCCAACCCCCAAAAGTCTGTACCCCATATTGAGTCAACCCCACAACTCTCCATGGTCACCACAACCAAATATCAAAAGCATACGAACTCCAACGTTCGTAACTTTCTTGTTCGTGCTCCGATTGAAATGATTCTTGGTTCGTCGGAAAGCTCTTGAGCAGTGGAGTCACTTCAGATATCTGCTCAAGCCAAATAACATTCACACACACTCAGAAAATCCAAACCGCACAAAACACAAATTCTTGCGCACGCTCATTTCACACATGCAACGCACGAACACATGATGGGAGGCAGACAGACGTGAATGCAAATGATAGCATCACATAACAAACTCCCCCTCTGGCTGCCAACCATCATCCCACATGCCATAGCTCAAGCATGCACCCTCAATGCACACT